GCTCCTTGACGGCGAGGATCTTGCCAGCAATGTCAGGACTATGCCTGTGGTAGACCGTCTGCAGTCGTCGGTGGATACCGAGTGCGGCGAGGGTGCCCTTGATGTTCGAAGGGAGAGAGATGGCAGAGCGGCGGAGAGTGATGCGGAAATGCGTGAGGGGCTCGGCCTCGGCGGCGCGGGCAGCGGCGGTGGGGGCGGGTGTTGATGATGATGACGAGGCCGCAGTTGCAAGAGAGCGGAGCTGCGTCCGTGCGCAGGAGCGCATAGAAGCGACGGACAGCATGGTGGACGATGGAGAGAGGGAGCTCGTCGCTGTGGGCGACAGCGAGCAGCACGGGCGGCAGCCAAGTTTGCGCGAGCACGTGACAGCCGCGATAAGGCCTGCCCTGAACATCTGGCGTCGCGTCTGCTTGTTGACCGCGTCGCAATTCAAGCCACCGTCCTGCACGCTCTACTCCGCGTCGTTCTGCCCCTTCTGCTTCTCATAAACTCTCTGGCCTGGCATACTTGTTGGCCTTTTATTTTTAATTTGACTGGGCTACTCCTCGGACGATATTCTGTGGCTACAAGTCGACACTTGCTTGAACGACCCACTATAACTAGCCCCTTTCTGCCGTTTGATTAACAGCTCTGCTGCCTGGCCAGTAACATGTCATTCAGGAGGGTGAACAGGTCGAAGAAGGTGCGTGTATCCCGCTCTCAAACCCGTCCCTACACCTCAACGCTTCGAACAGGTTCCAGGAGTCAAACTACGTCCAGCGGACCCTTCGGCGCGCAAGGACCTCAGGACACCAGATTCTACATGGACACACAGCTCTGGCCTCGACTCTGACGAGGAAGCTACGCATGCGGACCTATGTCCGCGGCCCTTCAAGGGCTTTGTCTTGTGCGCGACTGGTATCAGCGACAAGGTGAGCCCCTACATCTCCTCACCATTGCATGCGTGCCGGGCACGGCGGTCCAGACATCAGAGAAACCCTCGGAGTTGAGAATGTCTTAGGAACTTGCATGGGGACTCATGGTCGTAGCTAGACGGTTGTCACCGTCGCATGTGCTCTAGTGCGAAGATCGCTGCCTGGATTGACGAGGGGAAGGCTACCAATTGTGAAGAGTTCGTGTTCTGCCCAAACGTGCAGGCTAGACTGCGTGGCTAGACTGTGTTCCACCTTCTATCCCAGATATCACGTCGGATGTCACTTCAGCTATATGAGAGCGTGGTGCATGCGACTCGTTGACTGCCGCTGTCGGATTTTGCTCTAGGCGACTGCAACCAGGGCCGCTCGTGACGCTCGTCATATGGTTGAATACTGACCGCTTTCCCAGACATCACTATTCAAGCTTGCATTAGAGCTCGGAGCGCAGTCTGTGAGCGACCTCACGGACAGAGTAACACACCTCATTGCGGAGGAGCCCGGTAGTGCCAAGTACCGAGTATGTTCTTCAGATGGTACAGTATTGACGTTGTCGCTGACTCGTCTGTCAGTGTGCTCTGGAGAACCGGATACCAATAATGCATCCTTCATGGATCACAGAGAGCCACAAGATCTGGCTACGAGGAGACGACGTCCATGTCGACGAGGTGCGCCCTGCTCCTGCTTTCTACAAGTTCATGATGCTGGGTCCACTCACTATGGTGTTCCTCAGAGCATACGACAATACCGCCTCCCCCCCTTCTCCGGTGTCGTCCTCTGCGTCTCCGGGATCGAAGACGTAAACCGGCGGATGGAGATCAACCGCGAAGTGACGAAAGGCGGCGGGACGTACGTCAAGCAGATCGAGCGCCCCGTGCGCGTCACGCACCTGCTGTGCGCGAACACAAGCGAGGGCGAGTCGGAGAAGGTGCGGTACGCGGAGAAGTTCAACCGCGTGGGCGAGGCGCGGATACATATCGTGTGGGAGGACTGGTTCTGGGACTCGTTGCGGTTTGGGGGACGGTTCGATGAGGAGGCGTATCAGGTGTCGAATCCGAGGCCGCCGCCGAGGGCGTTGCCCGAAGGTACGTCTCTGTCCCGTTGACCTCAGCCTTCCGCCTGCTCAATGACTTGACCTTCCGCTAGCTCCTCCCGCCGCCTCGCGCACAATCACAGACCAAACTGGCATCTCCTCCGAGATTCAGAACGCCCAAGCCTCCGCCGCAGGCCCCTCTCACGCGCCCGATACCCATGGAGGCGACGAAGAAGAAGTCGCCTCCGTGAAGCGCGTCCCCGCAGTGACCCTCCACCTCTGGGAGAGCATCCTCAAGCCGCGCGGGTTCGAGGTCCAACAAGGCCGGCTCGTCCGCAGCCCCTCCAAATCTCAATCCCAGTCCCGCTCCAAGCCCGACACCTCGTACCGGCGCGAGCTCTCGCCCTCCGCCCGCGCGTCGTCGTCGTCGTCGTCGAGACGGGGCGCGCTGAGGGACGGCGACGGGGAGCCGCACGCGCCGGCGAGCGCGATCTCGTCGTTCAGGCGCGCGCGCTCGTTTGCGCCGAGTGTCGGTGCAAGGGACGCGTCGACCCCGGTGGGGGGGCAGCCGTTCAGGCGCGCGCCGACGGTGGGCGGGGGTGCACTTGGGGAGAGGACGTCGTCGATGTCGTTCCTGGGCCGCTCGGTTGGGAGCGTGCAGGCTGCGGCTGGAGAGTTCTCCGACGTGCCGATTGCGTCGACTTCTGCTGTCGCTGGGCCGAGTCGCGCTGGGAGCGTCGGAGCAGGGGCGGGAGTGGAAGGGGCGATGGGCGTGGGAGAGAGCGAGGTGTCGGAGGGCGCGAGGGAGCTCTTCAAGGGTATGCGTATCCGCGCGTTGGGCGAGGCGCGGTGCGGGAGCGTGAGGAGGGCGGTCGAGGAGTGCGGCGGGACGTGGGTCGGGATGGAGGATGATGACGAGACGGTGGACTTCATCGTCGTCCGGTTGGTTAGGTGCGCCCTCCTTCACCACCTCCTCTGTTGGTACTGACACCACGTCCTGGACATCTAGTGGAAGCGCGATCTTCCGACGCGAAGCCGACCCGCTCCTGCGCGCAAAGTACAGGACGGAGTGCTGGCTCGAGCGCTGCATCTTCGAGGAGCGCGTGTGCGCGCCCGGGGAGCACGTCGCATTCGTGCCGCTCGCGGTCGAGGCGCCGATTGCGGGCACGGAGGAGATGGTGCTCAGCTACTCCGGCTTGGACCAGAGCGAGGCGTGTTGGGTGCGGAGGCTCTTGAGGGCGCTTGGTACGTCTTTCCTCGCACACTCTCCCTTCCCTGACGAGTGAGGTGGGCAAGTGGGCTGACGAACGGGTTTGGGTAGGCATCGCACACGCGCCGAATTTCTCGAGACGCACGACGCACCTGCTTTGTCCGTCCGGGGAAGGCCCCAAAGCGGACAAGGCGCGCGAGTGGGGCACGCCCATCGTCGATATGGAGTGGCTCGCGGCCATGGTGCGGACTGGCGAGCTTCCGCCCTTGCCCCAGTCCGCGGGGATCGCGGGTGTTGCGGGGGAAGCGGTCGTCCAGAAGGGCGAGGACGTGGACCTGCAGGTCGTTGACTATCAGGGGGAGCCGGAGGTGTTGATGGCGACGCAGCAGCCTGTGCGGTCACAGCCTGAGCAACAGCTGAGCGGTGCGAAGAAGGGTAAGGGGAAGGAGAAGGCGCGGGACGTCAGTATGGTGGACATCACCAACGGTACGTGTTTCCTAGTGTTGGGTGGTTGTGAAGCTTGCTCACTTGGACTAGAAGACCCGTCGCCTCCGAAGTCGCAGTCCTTGTCGTATTACGACCCGCCTCCAGAAGCCCAGCCACCGATGCTCGAGGAGCACGAGTCGTTTGGCATGCCCAACATGCTCCTGGGCATTGCGGCACCCGAGAACAGACCCAGCACACCACGACAACGATCCAAGACACCCACACCCCCCGCCGAACGCGCATCCTCCGCCTCACCCTCCCGCACGCAACCCTCCGACGACAATCACCCCGCCTCCAGCACCGACCCGAGCTCCGAGCCCTCGCGCGCGTTCGACGACCGCGTGCCGTCCTCGCTCTCGCCCGAGCCGATGCGCATGCCCGGCGCGCGCACGCCGTCGACGCCCGCGCGCGTGACGAAGCAGGCGACGCGGGTGCTGCAGGAGAGCATCACGACGCTCCTGGGGAAGCGCCCCGCCGCGGCCGTCGCGGCGGAGCGCGAGGAGGAGGAGAGGAGGGCGAAGGAGGTGAGGCTGGGCAAGCGCGCGAGGCCGTTGAACCGGACTAAGGTGCGTTCAGGGTTTCCGTCAGTTTGAGTTACAGCTGATGAACTGGTGCTCTGCTGCGTAGTCTAATATGTCCTTCACGGAGTCGGTCACGCCTGGGCGTACGACCCCTCGTCTGAGCCCTCCGCCCGGAGCACGGTCAAGAGGCGCGTCCACAACACCGGCACCCGTCCCAGCACCCGAGTCCCACCTCATCCCACGCCTAGACGCGCCCGACGCCCCAGCGCACCCGTCCACCTCGGGTGACGAGGCGGACAACAGCTTCATGGCCGCGGAGCTGCCCGAGAGCTCGCACGTCATGTACGCGGACCCGAAGCAGGACGGCGCGCGCGAACGGCTGAAGCACCTCTTCGACAGCGGGAGCAAGCGCGAGCGCGAGCGCGAGCCGTGGGACATCGACGGGGCGATGGCGATGGCTATGGATGTGGAGGAGATGACGCTGCCGCAGCTGCCGGACGTCGCTATGGCGCGGAAGGCTGCTGGCAGCGCAAGGAGTAGGAGGGGGAGGGGCCCGAGGAAGGGGGCGCGGTAGGATGTCCTCCTCTGTACGTGAGTATCAATTCAAGGAGTAGCAAGCCTGGCGCGTGGTAGAAGTGATTCGTGTGTTCGTACCTAGTGTACGTATCTGTGTGTATATTGGATTCCGCCTCGTTTTTGAGGTATGATATATGTACAACGGGAAGCCCTGCGCAGCTGCAAGTGGGGACCGGCAATCCCAGAGGCTTGCCCATGCTTGGCATCACGGTGCGGCATGGTCTGAGGCAGAATATGAGGCTACAATATGCCATGAATCAACATCTCTGTTAGTATATCGGTTAGTACACGCGCCTGTCACGTCCTCTATGTGTGCTGCCGTGCGCGCGAAAGCGGGGTTCGACTCCCCGACAGAGAGCTTATTGGTTGTTTTTGCTGTTTAGGTTGCAGTGGTCTTTTTTTCCAGTCACCGATAGAACTCGTGCTCGTACTGGGTAGACTGGCAGTACAGATCACATTTGTGGTAGTGTGTATGAGAGTGCTTGCGTGGTGCACCTCGGAGAGGAGGCAGCGACATTAGGCGCTCATCATACGGTATGGTGTGGCTGAACTTGAGCTCAGGCGTCATTGCATGTCCTCCCCCGACCACCACCATACATAGGCCCATTTCCGTCGTCATCTCTCCCAAACACCACGGGAACGTCGATTGAGCAGCTCTTAGGCAGCCAACTATTGTGCATACAGTGTCATATCCAGGTCGGCCGGCATCTTGCATCGCACTGCAACTCACCAGGACAGAGGGCCAGTGCACGTTTCCAATACTCATACATATCCTTGCTGAGACGTCTCACAGGGTGCAGACGTGTACCATGGCAGAGTTTATTGCCGTCGCCTGCGTCATCGAGTCGTCCTTAGCACTCGCCGCGGAATGGCCCCAAGTCCAGGCAGAGTACATCGTCCCTCTCATGCAGCGGCTCGGAGAGCTGCAGCCCGCGCCATCACAGGTATGTCCCAGCACATCTGACGCGAAACCACTGGTCTACTATAATCTGCAAGTTTCGATTCGCATGCGTCTCCTATGCGACCGCAGAGACAAGGCCCACGCCCATCCTGTCCAGGCAATTCTTCGGTCGCCCAAATGTCATGATGAAGGAGATGCGGGAGGAGCCACACCGGCACGGCATCGGTCAAACAGGTGACGGAGGCGGCTATGGAATGGCTGCGCTGGAGGGGCTCGTCGCTGCGATAGAGGTACGTCCGCCCCCTCACCCTTGCCCAGTCCGCCACTCATCCTGCTGCAGCTGTTCGATCAACTGAAGGCATCCATCGAAGTACGTCAGCTCGCTCCAGTGGAACAGACCGCATTCACACAACTCAGGCAGTCGTTCCGTCGTACATCATCCACTTCTCAGCTACACACCCCGATCCCGCCCTGAAACCATTGTGGAATCAGTCTCCGTTGCTGGACTTGGTCGGTTGGGAGACCCTACCTATGGAACTGAAGAAGGTCGGTCTTCTATCACGTATCAGACTTCCGTCTATGCTCACCAGGTCACAGCGGGGCATCCACTACAGCAACATCTCACTCCGGCCAATACCTCACTTCGCGCAGTTGCAAGTAGCTGTGCGTATTCGGCCTGTCATTGAGGTCCCAGTAGACGATTAATGAGGCCTATACAGGCTGCCTCAAGTCCCGGACAAACTCCGTGGTTCCCAGTCCGTCCCCGCCATGCCCTCCACCTGAGCGGCTTCCCTCAGAAAGGCGCGTGCAGTTTGTCGGCTCAGGGCTCCCGCGTGCTGACCGCATCGCATGCAGGCACAAAACGCCCAGGAGGCGTCGATAAGAGTCCGGAGATGGCAAAACGTGCCAAGATGCTCCTCTCCTCGCCTCACAAGTCTCCCGCCATTGTCCCAGCTGCCGCGCATTCTTCACCTTCAGAACCTCCGCCGCCAAGTGCCAAAACGCCCAAGATGGCTGCGGCGGTACCGACGACGACGGGCGTGCCCTCAACAGCCGCAGCCGCGTCTGCGGCCGTACCTGCTGCACCTCAATCTGCACCGTCTGTCCCGGGCGCGAGACCGGCTCTTCCCCCGGGCTGGGATGAACACTACGCGCAAATGAGGGTGCAGCTGCAGAAGATGATGCTGGAAATCCAGGAGCTCAGGACTGCGGGCAAGCACGAGCTCGCGAAGAAGCTCGAGACGGACTTCAAGGTAAAAGTGCAGGCGTTCAAAGAGTTCCGCGAACGGTACGCGCGCGACCCTCAGGCGGCGGCGCGGGACGCTGCGCAGATGGAGGCGGCGCGGGCGAAGGCTGTCGCTGCTGCACAAGCGCAAGGACAGGCAGGGGCGGGCGCAGGGCCCTCGGCGCAGACTGCGACGGAGCTGGCTGCGAAGCTTGGACAGCCTGTCGGACAGGCGGTACCCCCTACGGGCATGCCTCCCGTTCCGGCGTCAACGCACGGCGTCCAAGGTGGACCAGGCGCTCCGTACGGCGTGCAGATACCACCGAACGTCAAGCCCGAGGTAGCCGCGCAGATGCAGAAGCTGCTCGAAGCAAAAAGACCGCCGCATCTGGGGATCCAGCCGCAGCCCCAACAGCAAGCACCACGGCAACCTCAAACTCAGTCTCAGCTGTCATCTCAGCCCCACCCGGGACCGTCGACGTCAACTTCTGGAGTACCGGAACAGCCGTCTGCGGGTGGCGCGCAGCCTTCGAGTGTTTGGCACGGGGCGCTGTCGTGGACGGGCACGGACTCGGAGACGCATGTGAGGAAGGACGTGCAAGCGCGAGTGGTCATAGAGGGGCGAACCGCATCGGCGGACAGGATGTACGCTACTCTCAGTTCTCTTCCCCATAGCTTACTCACCTAGCATCATCAGGCGTCCAGAAGCTTGGCCACCAGTGCTGTCGCTCGCACCGTCGCAGCATCATGCCGTCTCACTACGGGTGCTCCAGCAGTGGCTGCTGCGACATCCGTGTGTCCCGCTGGTTATCAAGACGAGTACGCAGGTGCCGGACGTCAAGGCGAACGAGGAGGACTTCCGGGCGCTCATCCGGCTGCTCGTCGAGAAGAATCTGGTGCGCGTTGTCAAAATCCATTTCCCCAAATCTTCGTGTTGACTCTCGTCCAGTATGCTCTTGCTGCGTGGAACGGCCCCAATGGCGTGCCGGAGAACCGCGTTCTCATCTTCGTCGTCGGCACCTCTCTTGCGGGAGCGTACTTTCCTCTACCAGGCGGCATGCCCGAGCTGCCCAAAGGCGAACCGGAAGGGCAGCCTGCGCAGCATCTACAGGCTCCCCAGGCTACTCAACCGCCAAACCCGCCGGGAAACATGCCCCCATCCGTCCTCGCCGCACTCGCGTCCATGAGCGCGAAGGAACGCGCGATGTTCAGCACACTTCCGCCGGAACGAAAGGCATTCGTGCTGAAGGGGCTTTTGCAGAAGCACGCTGCCGCGAAAGCCGCGCAGCAGCAGCAGCAACGGCAGCAGCAAGGACAGCAAGGACAGCAGCAGCAGCAGCAGCAGCAGCAGCAGCATCCACCGCAGCAACCACAACAGCAGCAGCACCAGTCGCCCCAACTGCAACACCTGCAGCAGCCGCAGCTCCAGGCAGGACCCTCCCAGCCGCAAGGCGGCATGCACAACCCTCAACAACAGCAGCCTCACATCAACGCTCCGCAGAATCAAATGAACCCCTGGCTTCAGAGTGGTGGAGGGATGTTCAACCAGATGGGTGGAGGCAGCGGGATGGGACCCTCGGGTATGCCTAACCAGTCACCTAATCCCGCGCAGCAGAACCCGATGGCGAACATGGGCATGAACTATGGTGGGATGGGCGGGATGGGTCAGATGGGTCAGATGGGGCAATTGGGCCAGATGGGCCAGATGCAGCCAGGCGCGCAGGGTATGCAGGGTATGCAGGGGATGCATAGGCGGACGCCGAGCGCGGGCACGCAGGGTGGGATGCCCGGGCTGAGCTATGAGATGTTGCAGTCGTTCATGCAGAGGAGTCAGGAGGGCGGGGGAGGAGGGAATCCTGGATTTGGAGGAATGTAGACGGACGATGCCCCATTGCTTTGCTCGGACTAGATGTATGATTGTACTTCGCGTCTCACACCTCGATCGGTGTTGTTGTGATCGATATCCATGATGAGCAAGAAGAGGTCGCTAGTGCTACATGGCAAGACTCGTAGCTATCGCAATACAGGTATTCATGGTTTCTTCACCATTCTTTGACGCTGACTGGTATCACCTCTGCTCTCGACGCCCTTATGTTCCAGGAGCGCTCCAATTCTCGTTCAAGCCTTGAATCTTGTCGTGGTCCGCGAGGTTTGGCTTCGATTCGTAGACGGTGACGACAGGCTCGAACTTCCGCTGCGCATGAAGTACTATCAGCGTCAGGGAGAGGATCGCGAGCAGAAGGCTCCGCACCTCGCTCCATTGGCCCAGAAAACCGACGTAGTAGACGCGCGTGGTGTCGGCACCTTGGGCTGCAGGGAAGAAGAGCGTGATTGAAGTCACGTTCGGGAACTTCGCTGGCCTGCACACACGTCCAGAGTCAACTCAATCGTCCTGAGCGGGATAACAAACTCTAGGGCCAGCATACATGACGTGGTATTCGCCCACATCGCGACCCTGTGGGACCGAGAATTCCTGGACCGGCTTCATCTCTGAGATATCGGAGAAGTCCAGATGCTCGACATTCGGGAACTAAACGTCTTTCAGCAATACGTCCGGTGCGCAGGAGCACAAAGGAGACTAACCAACGCCACTTTGCTGGGGGTCTGATCAGCCGGACCCGCTTTCAGGAGGAGTGCGCGTAGCTTGACTGCCCCCGTGAAGGGTATGCGGATGATCCTGCGTTCCAGTGGACGAAATCAGTACCGGCAACGTGCTCCTGATGCTGTGAATGAGCGTACAGTTGGTCATCTGCGTCAGACTCGAGATACTGTATGCAGAAATCTGTCAGCCCCCGTCATACAAGCTTCATAATGTGGATATTACAATCTCTTCATCCATCCGCTGATCCCAAGGCTTGATAATCGCGGGGGCCTTCTCTGGATCCTCCGCATTCAGCGCGACCACGTTCGCACGGTCGATACGTTCGTACAGGTTGTCTCGATGCCCGACGTCCTCCGGCAAACCATGTTGGTGGTCATGGTCATGGCTCTCGTCGTGACAGCCACCATGCGAGTGATTATGCGCCATCGTCGATCACTTCCAAGGTGTGTAGGTGCTCCGAGGAGCGTTGTGGCGCTGCTATATACTTGGATGACCAGCTGCCTGTTCTGGGAGGTTCCTGGGGTCTCCGCATACGGCCAAACAGACACAAATAACGCGCCGCGATAAATTTCGCCAAGTTCGTCGTCCACGTCGTTTCTCTCTCGACCTTTTCGACCGGGTGCTGCTATG